TGAATACAACAGGACCGTACAGTGGCACCTCAAGGCCAAGGTATTTGAATCTGTTTACATAGTCAAGCTGGGAGCCATCAGACAGTTGCATCTTGCGAACAGCTCCTCCCTGCCTGGGTGGGCGCCGATTTAATATCTTTGTTTTCTCTGCTGAGATAATTAAACCTAGGTCCTGACATGAGTCTAATACAGAGTTAAGAGTGTTCTGCGTGTTAGCATAACCAGCGGTGTGTATCATTATATCATCAGCATAGCTAATGATGTGGACGTTGGGTTTGCTCGGTACAGAGTTTAACAGCGTGTTTATTAAGATATTGAATAAGGTAGGACTGAGGACACCACCCTGCGGGGTGCCTAGTTCAAAGTCTCTTGTTACACTTCTATGCTTGCAAGAATGAATATTGGTGGTCGGCTTCTTTGTTGGATCAGGGGTTACTTATCCAACAGGAAGTCATCTGTATTTTTCCAGGGAACATGGCATAAATCATCAATTGTACAAGTTGGTCAACAAACAGCATTGTTTAAAATAGCAAGACATGGGTTGACATTTAGGGGTGAGGTAGGTTACATGGAGTTAACTAGGTGGTACTTAGTTTTTCCCTTAAACTGGTTGAGAGAGGTACAGTCTTTAACATGATTGGGAAGGTCATTCCACATTCTGGGTCCCTTGATTTGTAGAGCATTTCTAGTTTGGTTAAGTCGTACTCTTGGAATATAAAAAAGGTATCTGTCTCTGGTGTGGTGCTCATGGGTTCTGTTACAACCTTCTAGGATGCTTTTAAGGTCAGAATTGACATTAAGTTAAAGATCAGCCGGACTCTACTACCGCACTGCATCATATAAGTACCACTGTAGCCCTTCCAACACGGGTTTAAAACTACTTAATGCTCACCAAGTGAGGTCCGACATGTCGCTGACGATGAAGATTAAGGCGCCCAAGAGGTGGCACGGGCATGAACAGCCCGGGAGTGGTAGATTTTTTGTTTAGTAAATGTATACAGTGTGCTGAGGTCGCATTTAATCGTCAAGCTGTTATCGCGGGGGAGGATACTGCTTGACAGTCTTTATGAGGGTGTCCAGCTGCTGGACACCCTTGTTGACCAGGAGAGTGGCAGTGTTGATGGCTTCAGGGTGGCCATTGCATGATTCAGGAACTCTTAAAGCTCTTCTAAGGTCATTGGTTGCTTCACATTCCAGAAGATAGTGAAGTAATGGCTTTTCTGTGACAGTTTGGCAGAAGATGCACTCTCTCTGTCGGGGTTCACCAATCTCCCAGTTGCATCTGTAACCTAGACGTAGTCTATATAACCTAACTGCTATTTCCCTGTGGATTCCTTTTGGTATATTTAACCTTTCTAATTTGGTTGCCTGAAGATACCATGTTGCAGATGGCGAACCTTCAGCTATTCTCTGGTGCAGGTAGGCTTTGTTGAGATGTGAGAGTTTTTTGGTGATGATGTTTTTTATGTTCTCTAGGCTGGGTTGAATTGTTTTATGTATCACTGGATGACGAGTTGCCAATTTAGCAATTTCATCAGCTTTTTCATTTAATGGGATTCCAATATGGGATGGGATCCAGTTTAAAGTTATGTTGAGTCCTTTGCCTTTAGCGACTGCTCCAAGATACAAAATGGTGGTAATTATTTCCACGTTATCTTTCCACTGTTTTTGTCCTAGTATTTGAAGTGCAGCTTTTGAGTCTGTGTGTATGATTGCATTTTGAGGGTTTTGTGCAATCACATATGCGAATGCCTGTTGTAAGGTAAACAGCTCAGTTTGGGTTGATGATACTAGTACTCCCAGTCTCCAATATGCCTGTACGCTGGTCGTGCAAAGACCATTAAACACAACGGAAGCTCTAGTTTCTTGACCTTAGGAGGACGGGCTTCCTGTGCCCAACTACACCAATGACACATACAATAATAGCCGTAAACTCGTTACAACAATCACTGTCAGTTTGGGGGAACACGACAACTGCCGTTGCCAGCAAGACGCCATAGTTGCCGCTCGTTAGGTACACTGAACCACTCACCATTAATAATGACACTTCGTGCCACAAAAATAGTTAAGAGTTCATAAGAGAAACCTTACAATATTTGGTATGCAATGCAATGCATAATAAAGTCTACCCGGGAATTAACAATGATATGAAACACTAATCACCTTTTTCAAAATAGTTGAATGTTTTATGTAAACATTAAAGACACTTTTATAAATGAATAATTTATCATGTTCGGAAAACATACAAATTATATTTTATTATATTTCTATGTTAAAACTAAGCAATATTTAATTTTCACTTATCCTAAATTCCTAAAAAGTTTGTATTTATTTGTAAACTCGCATAATATTTTGTTTGATAACATATTAATTTACATATATACATATTTCCTGTTATCTACAAGACAGTACAGCGAGAAATATAACACAGGTGTTGAGGAATAATTATAAGTGGTTTGAGATATCTGAAATATTTCTTGGGTGAGATCTTCCAACTTAGATACACCACACTGAGTACATTGAGACGCCGCGACGTCCATATAATGACGTATTTCCTCAAAACACTTACAAGGATGTAACAATGAGTCATGACAATGTTGGAATATATTGACGTCCTCACAAACTGTAGAGACGCGCCTTAAACAGGTGTTGATGTCACCGTCATCCGCCAGCCACACTAAATCCAAACGTAGAAATCCAACATTTTGCTTGTAACTCAATTTTACCTAAATAAACTTTATTGATTTATTTAATTCCAGCTTATATGCTTAAGTTTAGTTGCTATATGCACCTTCTCCATCAATCTTGGCATAATCTTGGCAGGTTGTGTAGCTACAACGATGGAGCTCCAAACATGTGCTTTCTGGTGGAGGATTGAGTAGTCCCCGACCAACCTCCCGAGCCGCGTCTCGACAACACTCACCACAATGAACAAATCCACAAGGGCCGTGATGAGGGTTCGAACCTACATCCGGGATGATCCCAGATGCACCTTAGTCGACTGAGCCACAACATGGTAAAAAAATTACAACCTTTTATCATCCTACATCACGGACATAGGTTCGAGCCCTCATCACAGCCCTTGTGGATTTGTTCACTTGATGCATGACACTATTGTGATTTCTTTGTGTATTCAAGGGCGAAGAGGTAGAACATTTAGTTGACGGAGCCCGGGTGCATGGGGAGAATTGTGTAAAAACCCCGGTCTATGCTTCGGAGAAGCTGCGGGAGCCTTGTGAGGGCAGTAGAACTCCAGGTTGCAATTATTTTACTATGTCGTGGTGCAATCGACTAAGACGTGTCCGAGATCATCCCGGATGTTGGTTCGAACCATCATCACGGCCCTTGTGGATTTGTTCATTTAATACATAACGCTATTGTGATTTCTTTGTGCATCTACCACAATGATTATATGGTCAACTATATATATTTGTTGTGCATTATGCATATGTGAAAATTTGTAAACCTTAATATAAGTACACAGAGAACTTGCAATAACGTGATATATCACTGAACAACTCCACAAGGGCCTTGATGAGGGTTCGAACCTACGAGCTGGGTGTTCCCAGATGAGTCAAAGTCCACTGTACCATGACACGGTATAAAAATTGCAACCTGAAATTTTAATATAAGTATTACAATATGTAATACGTATTTCATTTATTACACCAATTTGTTCGGTGCAGAGCATTTGCCCAATTTTTCTTCAGAAATGTTTAATTTTAGTATGGCAGAAAACCTTCATGGATTTTTATTATGCATGTGATGCTATTTTGATATATATGTAGCAACATCTTAAATCGACCTTCCTTGATCCATTCCTATCTATTTTGTTTTGCAGATATATACAGGAGCAGATGATGTCTGACTCCTGTTAGCAGACTGACACCCTTCCCATAGCTCATGGTTCATGTACGTTTATTGAGACAATAAAATACATCTCAAAGTGATACAGTAGCTTAGGCTATTTCTACCCTCTAGCTCATGGTAAGCCTTACTTGCTAGGTTTCCCTGGAATACGACCCGCCGATCAGTTTACAACCAGGTACAGTGCCCAATTTCTGTTGGGTGAACAGGCGAAAAGTTAAGGTTTGGCACCTAGTCAATCCTTCCTGGCCAGGGCTCAAACCCATACCAAATCGCTCGTGAGGCATGTGATGATATGTGGGGATGAGGAACGGCACAAGGTGTGGGGCGAGACACAGGGTGTGGGGCGAGGCACAGGGTGTGGGGCGAGGCACAGGGTGAGGCACGGGGTGAGGCACTGCACAATTGTTACCACTATGCCACCAGGGACTTTAATCAAAAACAGTTTCATGACTCGGTTACCCAGAAGGGCTGCGCGGACGTTGAGCCCCAAAAGCATCGCAAGGTAAAGATACCTGATTAGCTAATGCATTATTAAACTTCAGTGTATATATTAGGCTCTACAGTGTGTGTATTAGGCTCTACAGTGTATATATTAGGCTCTACAGTGTGTGTATTAGGCTCTACAGTGTATATATTAGGCTCTACAGTGTGTGTATTAGGCTCTACAGTGTATATATTAGGCTCTACAGTGTGTGTATTAGACTTTGGTACTTTAATGTATGATTTATTTCAGTCCCTTTTTCTATACATCATGGAAACCCAATCCAATTCATTTTTAAAGATATGGTCTCAGCCATTTTCAAAATATCATTTCTGGCACCATCTCTGATACTGTATATCCAATCAACTGCCACACCACAAACGATAAACAAATGTGTGTCCACACACTGTGTTGATCACATGGCCACATGAGACATTCATGAGGTGCCTAGAGTGGCAAACTACGCATTGCAACACCTGCCTACTGCTAGCTCGCGCAGTCGTGTCTCATAATATGAACAGTCCGTCATTCTAACAACTTCATTTCAAGTTTATTTGTACTGTGTTAAAAATGAGTAACTGGCCTATCTGGCTAAGTTGTGTCGGGAAAGCTTGCAGTCGTCTGTACGCATGAGGAGAATAATAAATAATTAACTGTACTTTATATGTATTAACTGGAAAAGAACATATCCATAACTATTACATACAAATCCTTACATGTACTAATTGGATAAAAATATCTAAAGCAATTACAAACATCATCATCTTTGATGAAATACAAGCGCAGATAGGGAGCCTGAAGATACAAAGTTACGTAAACTTATAAACTATGTACTGTATTAAGAATAGATGCTTTTTTCTGCATGGGAGTGTTTTTCACTCCCAACAATGGATATTCGGCCACAGTTTTCCGTGGAGTTGCCGATATTGCTAATAATAAAGTTGGTAGTGACCCATCAGCCCCAGTTCTCCTCAGAACGACCAATCTTGAAGATTATTGATCCAAAGAAGATGAACATGTTCTGTAGGAAGATGGCAACGCCTGGCCACTGCACTGGTGCCTCTGTCAAGTAAGAGAACATGTTGTACATATACATGACAACATCAAAATTAAACCTATAACCATCACCACCGTCGTCAAAGAAAAACAATTGAGGCATAAAATATAATATAATAAAATCAAATAGATTCCATAAAGTCCATTCTACCATTGACCTTGTCTCTGATATCTCTCATATCTAGTCTGCCTTATTATTCTATTTATGGGGAATATTTTGTCTTAGCTCTGGATATTGTTGAAGTTTCCGACATACAAATCTTTGCTCTCTAACTACTACTCTAACTACTACATCACTCCTCCCAATCTTTTGTGTACTTGTCAACTTTCTGCTCTTGACCGGTCCATCTCTAGTGCTGCCTCAACTTCCGCTACCTTCCTCTCTGACTGGTCCATCTCTAGTGCTGCCTCAACTTCCGCTACCTTCCTCTCTGACTGGTCCATCTCTAGTGCTGCCTCAACTTCCGCTACCTTCCTCTCTGACCGGTCCATCTCTAGTGCTGCCTCAACTTCCGCTACCTTCCTCTCTGACTGGTCCATCTCTAGTGCTGCCTCAACTTCCGCTACCTTCCTCTCTGACTGGTCCATCTCTAGTGCTGCCTCAACTTCCGCTACCTTCCTCTCTGACCGGTCCATCTCTAGTGCTGCCTCAACTTCCGCTACCTTCCTCTCTGACTGGTCCATCTCTAGTGCTGCCTCAACTTCCGCTACCTTCCTCTCTGACCGGTCCATCTCTAGTGCTGCCTCAACTTCCGCTACCTTCCTCTCTGACCGGTCCATCTCTAGTGCTGCCTCAACTTCCGCTACCTTCCTCTCTGACCGGTCCATCTCTAGTGCTGCCTCAACTTCCGCTACCTTCCTCTCGGACCAGTCCATCTCTAGTGCTGCCTCAACTTCCGCTACCTTCCTCTCGGACCGGTCCATCTCTAGTGCTGCCTCAACTTCCGCTACCTTCCTCTCTGACCGGTCCATCTCTAGTGCTGCCTCAACTTCCGCTACCTTCCTCTCGGACCGGTCCATCTCTAGTGGTGCCTCAACTTCGGCTCCTCGGAGCCGAAGGGGCTCACTACCCACAGAGGAAAGAAGAGGGACATACCCGGGAGATGGTCGCTGCACACTCCCCAACTCAAAGTCAAAACAACTGGCTGCAACTGCCAACCCAAGGCGACACAGGCCCGAATGAGCCCGGGAAAGACACGAGATATTGAGCAGCCAGGCCCCTGTACAACCGCCAAAAGCCCTATACCCGAATGTCAGCTAGGACATGCCGGGCATGTCTGACATGCCGTCTGTAGACTTGCTACAGACGGCAGCAAGAGCAGCGAATGTACGAACGCCATGGTCACAGGGATAGAACACTGGCTGGCTAGCCGCAATAACACGACGGACGACCTGAGAGACCCTCACCCACGAACAGGGAAGAAGGGAACCGGATCAACCCAAAGCACGTCCCGGACACAGAAGCCGTGGCCTGCACATAACAGCGGAGGGCTGCAACCGGACACAAAACACAATGCACCCCCGGCCCGACCAACCAAGCACCAACAAACCAAGGACCCATCCGGAAAGCAGCAGTCTCATTCCGTGCCAGAAAAGAAGGAGACGGCTGCAACCGAAGAAACCTATCGCCACGACCGAAGGAGCAGAAACTCCTGCACCGGAGGAGAGCAAGAAGCTCATCGACCCGACCCCTAGAGGCAAATGCCAACAGGAAAAGAGCCCGTCGAGAAACAAACCCGAACCGAAGGGGTCACAACCAACCGAGGAAAAGAAAGAGCATGCTGTCCAGAGACCAGGACGGCTCAGGCGGCGCATGAACAGGCCGGAGGTGAAACAATGCACCAGACAGTTTATGAACGGTGCAGACGTAACACCAAGACTGAAAGCAAGCCAAAGCGGCTCCGCTAGCGCCGCACGAAACGAGGCGACAGTATGCAGCAAGATGACGGCCCCGAACCCCCACCGAAAAAGCCAAGCCGACATCAACAACGCAGCTACCTTAGAAGGGACAGAAGGAAAAGGAAGGACTGCCAAAATACCCCATACTGCCACCAAGAAGAAGCACGCAGGTGGGACACCAACAACAAAGCCACCTGACCACCAACTGAAGGTGAGACACTTGAGGCAGAACTTAACCAGCCCCGTCAAGGTTCAATCGAGCCTAGGAAGAGGTGGAGCCGCAGGAAGATCTCGGGTGCAACCCCCAAGCAAGCAGAGCCGGAAACCCAAGCCGGCAAAGAAGGAGATGGAACGTCTGCCGAACAGAAAACAACCTAATGCGAACAAGCTCGCCAGGAGATCGGAGACTACGGGTCCAACGCGAGACTCCAGAGAAGGGACACTGCGAGACCTGAAAATGCCAACAGGCAAGGCAAGCCAGGAACCCAAACCTGGCAACAGGAGGGCCAAAAGGCACAAACAAAACACACAACAGTGTGTAGGAGAAAATGAGAAAAAGACCAGAAGAACAGCCCCAGCACCAGCAGCCAGGGACAAGAGTGAAGCAGGAAGATGAGGAACGAAGAAGACATGCAGCAAATCAGGAATGAAAGGGACACGACAAACCCACAGAGTCGCAGACCCTGTCCCAACAAACCAAACTGAAGAAGGTGCAAAGGGTTGCCACCAGACCAGTACCCAAACCAAGGGGTACGAGCAACAAAGACAGACTAATGCACACAAGTGCACACGCACCATGCGACACAGGCGGAAGGAGAGCCCAAAGGAGCCAAAGAAACGCAAGAAGGAAACATTCCAGCGGCAGAGTAGGAAACAAATGGAATGCACGAGGAAAGGAAGTGGTGGAAGCTGACCCCACACACAGCTGCAAGTGCAGGCATGACAGAGCCCAAGAGATGTCAGGGAAGCGACAGGGGAGAGGCAGGACGAAAGAGCCAAGCTCAACCCTAGGAAGCACAACCAGGGGCGGACAACTAGGCGAGGACAGAGAAACCAATGTACATGGAAGGGCCAACCCAGGCACTCCAAGACGGGAAGGAAAGAGGGATTCCAGATAAGATCACGAAAATTGCCACAATCAATCCCCAACACGCATCCCCCAGGCACAAAACTGCAGCAAAATGTCACCCCACAACATCCTGACACAGTAACAAGTACCACATGTCACTGTGGTACATGCGAGGTACATGTGGTACACAATGCACACGTGCACTAACAACATGCACCACACACAACATGTAACAAGTAGTAACTTCTCTCGGCGAAGGCAGAGAAATGGAGGAGGCTGATCCAGACAGGGTCAAATGTAGACATGATAGAGCCCAGCAGGCTCAGGAACCTGCACACCAGGCAACCGACAGTGGAGAGGCGGGACCAAAGAGCCAGAGCCCAATCCCCGCAAGCACAACCAGGTGAGCACATAACCTGCACCTCAACCATCGTACCTCATAACATGGATGAGGTGGGGTCCCTTGATCGACTCGAGCTTGGGTCGAGTCGATCAAGGGACTTATTCTAGTGGAGAATAAGATTAAGTCAAGTCGAAAAGCTAGACCTTCTAGTTTGGTCCACATGGTCCAAACTAGTGGACCATGGTCCACTAGTAATGGTCCACTAGTTTGGTCCATTACTAGTGGACCAAACTTGTGAGAGTTTGGTCCACTAGTAATCAGTAATAGTAATCCAATAGTAATCAACTAAAAATCAGTTTTAATCTTATTTAAAAATATGAAGTTTTCAATATTCAAATTTAAAGTTGTTTTTTATTAAAATTGTTTTTGATTCTCTTGTGTTCCAAGTTATGTTGTGATCATTTAGACAAAGTTAGAGCATTTGTCTAGCTGATTATACACAAAAAATTGGAAGGTGTTTGTGCAAGATTTTAAAACTTGGGTTATGTCAAATTGTATATGTATGTTTTGTGGGGTTTAAGGGTTAAACTAGGCCTCAAAATCAGATATATGATCACTATTAATCCCTAAACTGGGCCTCACGATCAAGTATGCATTAAAGTACCACATGAGATTCAAAACTCACTCACTCGACAATATTTTATACACATTATTTAATTTTGAAATCAGTAAAATTCTTTATCTTGAAAACCTTACTATTAAAAACAAAACTCACAGAACACAAAATTGCTGCCGTTGTAATTAACGTGATGCGTTACATCTCTCTCATTACACAGTACTGTATTGTGATGCCTATTATAGGGATCAAATACTAGAAAGTAAACTCATTCCTGTAGTTATATCTGTGAATTTTCTGGTTACTAAACTCATCATCTCCATAAAAATCAACATGGTAGAATAGTCTCAATTACAGTATATCTAGTAAAGAGCATGAAATAAAGGGGAAGTCATCAACCAGGTCTTGCATGAGGCTAAGGAAGAGAACTCACTTGGGATGACGTAACCACCAAACAGGATCCAACATGCAGCAATGAGAGAGCCAAAACTGAGCATGAGTCCAAGGAAGAGCCATATACGTGCCCCGTAGGGTCCAACGCACCCGTCTGTGTACATGTCTCCACGCACCTGCCCATTGCTAACTGTGTTCACCCTGCAACAGAAAATGCAAGTTAGAAATCAATACATCTGATAAACTTTCTTAAGATACATCACTCATTACTCAACCTTCATTAAATCTCATCGATCTATTCTAAAACCTATAATACCACCTTAGAAGTTTAAGTGTATATTAGAGATGGAATAATCATTTGTCAAGTGATGCTGAGAATGTCTAACATGCAGCAGAGAGGAAGGAAAGCCAGGAAGAGGCGTGTCTTTGCACTACCAAAACTTAACATTTGCCCACTGCAAAAGAGCAAATAGACGAACCGTCTTCTCCCAACACTGATGGTGATGTGGTGATGTAGCCCATAACTTACATGAGCATGGCGAGTGTAGCAACCACTCCACACACATGATATGCATGATTGAAGTCTTCGTTGCTGGGATAGCGTGCAGCAGCATCGATCACGAACCACCAGCCCAGGGCAAACTGTCAGGCAAGGTATAACTTGTCATTAATCAAAATGATTTTAAAGACAATGTTGAGTTTAAATACAGTTAAGGTGAATGGTAATCAGTTGCACAACAGTACATACAGTACTAGTTTTTTTTTTAACAACACAAATAAAAATTATTTCAGCACAAACACATAACAATCACAAGTTACACAAATTTAAGGATTTGTATTAACATAAATACTGACTTTCACTGACTAGCACAACTGCTTACTCCACTGGAATACTTTCCTTTTGCTATGATAAGTATAGTACAATATTTTTATGAATAATGAGTCCAGTATATTACCGTATATCGAATATGTTCCTATACTGTATATTGGGTCTGTTAGGGTGCAATATATCAAGCATGTTAGCCAGTGTATTTATATCTCAACAGAGACGAACATTTCTATATGTACCAAATCACCCATATAATGTAACACTGTTTCATGATGACCACCCCCAGGGACCCCTCACCACCCCCAGGGACGCCTCACCACCCCCAGGGACGCCTCACCACCCCCAGGGATGCCTCATTACCACCAGGGACCCCTCACCACCCCCAGGGATGCCTCACCACTCCCAGGGACGCCTCACCACTCCCAGGGACGCCTCACCACCACCAGGGACCCCTCACCACCCCCAGGGACCCCTCACCACCCCCAGGGACGCCTCACCACCGCCAGGGACCCCTCACCACCCCCAGGGACGCCTCACCATAGCCCCTGAGGCCACAGAGGCCAGGAAGTTGCGCCTCTCGCCAGGGTCCCAGTTGTCACAGAGGGCGGGCACGCTCTCCCCCAGGGCACCACAACACTCCGGCATGGTAGCGCCTCCTCGTCTGCGACTCCGCGGGTTCGAGCCTCCTCCAGGGAGTGCTGGCGGAACCGGTTCTCGCCTCAACTTGTCTTGTGTGCCGCCCGGGGTCGACTCTCCTTCAGGTGGTCCAGACAACTGAGTCACTGTGTCAGGCGCTCTTTGTTTACCTTCCTGGGAGGCGACCGCTCTCTGGCGACCGTCTTGGTGAGCACTGTTCTCCAGCGACCGTCTTGGTCAACACTTCTGATGGTTACCTTGAGGTGTTTCCGGGGCTTAGCGTCCCCACGGCCCGGTCGTCAACCAGACCTCCTGGTTGCTGGACTGATCAACCAGGCTGTTAGACGCGGCTGCTCACAGCCTGACGTATGAGTAACAGCCTGGTTGATCAGGTATCCTTTGGAGGTGCTTATCCAGTTCTCTCTTGAACACTGTGAGGGGTCGGCCAGTTATGTCCCTTATGTGTAGTGGAAGCGTGTTGAACAGTCTCGGGCCTCTGATGTTGATAGTTCTCTCTTGAACACTGTGAGGGGTCGGCCAGTTATGTCCCTTATGTGTAGTGGAAGCGTGTTGAACAGTCTCGGGCCTCTGATGTTGATAGTTCTCTCTTGAACACTGTGAGGGGTCGGCCAGTTATGTCCCTTATGTGTAGTGGAAGTGTGTTGAACAGTCTCGGACCTCTGATGTTGATAGTTCTCTCTTGAACACTGTGAGGGGTCGGCCAGTTATGTCCCTTATGTGTAGTGGAAGCGTGTTGAACAGTCTCGGACCTCTGATGTTGATAGTTCTCTCTTGAACACTGTGAGGGGTCGGCCAGTTATGTCCCTTATGTGTAGTGGAAGCGTGTTGAACAGTCTCGGGCCTCTGATGTTAATAGAGTTCTCTCTCAGAGTACCTGTTGCACCTCTGCTTTTCAACAGGGGTATTCTGCACATCCTGCCATGTCTTTTGGTCTCATGTGATGTTATTTCTGTGTGCAGGTTTGGGACCAGTCCCTCTACTATTTTCCACGTGTAAATTATTATGTATCTCTCCCGCCTGCGCTCAAGGGAGTAAAGATTTAGGCTCTTTAGTCGGTCCCAATAGTTTAGATGTTTTACTGAGTGGATTCTAGCAGTAAAGGATCTCTGCACGCTCTCCAGGTCAGCAATTTCTCCAGCTTTGAAAGGTGCTGTCATTGTGCAGCTGTACTCTACTCTAGAGAGCACAAGCGTTTTGAAAAGTATCATCATCGGTATAGCATCTTCCGACTCTTCGTCGGTCTTCCGACATAAGTACACCCAGATCCTTTACATTGCCTTTTCGTTCTATGTTATGATTTGCATGAGTTTTGTACGTGGTTTCCGTTTTTATATTTTCATTTTTTTCCATAGCGCATGAGCTGGAACTTATCTTCGTTAAACACCATATTATTTTTTGTAGTTCACAGAAAGACCTGATTTACATCTGATTGGAGGTTCGCCGTGTCCTCTATGTTGCCTACTCTCATGAAGATCCTAGTGTCATCTGCAAAGGATGATACAATGCTATAGGTTGTGTTCTTGTCTATGTCCAATATGAGGATGAGAAAAAGTACTGGAGCAAGCACAGTACCCTGGGGGACTGAGCTCTTCACGGTTGATGGGCTGGATTTTATTTTGTTGACTATTACACATTGGGTTCTGTTAGTCAGGAAATTGTAGATCCATCTGCCTATTTTTCCGGTAATTCCTGTTGAACGCATTTTGTGTGCAATAACACCATGGTCACATTTGTCGAAGGCTTTTGTGAAATCTGTGTAAATTACATCAGCATTTTGTTTGTCTTCCATGCAGTCTCCGTGGTGTAGTGGTAAGACACTCGCCTGGCGTTCCGCGAGCGCTGTCATGGGTTCGTATCCTGGCCGGGGAGGATTTACTGGGCGCAATTCCTTAACTGTAGCTTCTGTTTAACGCAACAGTAAAATGTTTACTTGGATGAAAAAACGATTCTTCGCGGCAGGGGATCGTATTCCAGGGACCATAGGATTAAGGACTTGCCCGAAACGCTACGCGTACTAGTGGCTGTACAAAAATGTAACAACTCTTGTATATATCTAAAAAAAAAAAAAAAAATCTAATGCCATATCATAGTGGTCCAGCAACTGCGACAGGCAAGAGCGCCCTGTTCTGAAACCATGTTGTCCGGGGTTATGGAGATGCTGTGATTCCATGTATTTTCTAATCTTACTTCTTAGCACTCTCTCAAAAATTTTTATGATGTGTGATGTTAGTGCTATCGGTCTGTAATTTTTTTGCCTCTGCCTTATTTCCTCCTTTATGGAGTGGCGCTATCTCTGCTGCTTTTAGTATGTCAGGGATAACGCCAGTATCTAGGCTTTGTCTCCACAGAATGTGAAGGGCTTGCGATAGTGGTATTTTACAGTTCTTGATGAATATGGAGTTCCAAGAATCCGGGCCTGGTGCAGAGTGCATAGGGATACTGTTTATGGCTTCTTCAAAATCCAGTGGGGATAGGGTGACGTCTGATATATGATTTGATGTTGGTATCATATACATGAAAAATTCATTTGGGTTATCAATCTTTAGTGTGTTTAATGGCTCGCTGAAAACAGAGTCGTACTGCTTCCTCAGTAGCTCGCTCATTTCTTTGTTGTCATCGGTGAAAGTTCCATCTCCCTTTCGTAGGGGCCCGATACTAGATGTGGTTTTTGATCTTGATTTTGCATATGAGAAAAAATATTTCGGATTTCTCTCTATTTCACTGATGGCCTTTTCCTCTCTTTGCCTCTCCTAGGTTTTGCATGATCCTTGTAGCTGTAGTTCAATTAGTTTCTATTTCTCTACCTAACCTTCTTCGCCGTTCTTGAGATAGGGTGCGACTCTCAAGTTGTTCCGCGATTCGTTTTCTTCGCCTATATAGGGAACGACGTTCCCGTTCCAATCTGCATCTCTTCCTCCTTTTTCTTAGGGTATGCGGTTTGAACATATTTCTAGTGCTACTGAGCTTATTTTTTCCAGGCACTGGTTCAGGTTTGCATTTTCTAGCTGTTCTTCCCAGCTTATTTCTGTGAAGTCCTGGTTTATTTGCTCCCAGTTTATCTGTTTATTATTGAAGTTGAATTTGCTGAAATCTCCTCCACCAGGAATCTGGACTGGTTTTGAAGGTCTATTCCCCATGGTTGTCAGAACTTCAATTAAGTTGTGATCTGAGTAATAGGTATTTGTAATCATTATGTTCCCGATCAATTCATCATTATTAGTGAAAATGAGGTCCAGCGTGTTCTCCTTCCTAGTTGGTTCTACTATTTGCTGGTTTAAGGCAAACCTGTCACACAACCGTAGCAGGTCATTTGCATGTGCCTGTTCATTTAGGCTACTTCCTGGTATTCTTTCTGATATTACTGTATTAGCCAGGTGCTTCCATTTCAGGTGCCGTAGGTTGAAGTCCCCAAGCAGGATGATGTTCGGAGCTGGATTTGTGAGGTTTTCCAAGCAGTGTTCCAGTGTTCCAAGCACTGTCCAAGCAGTGTTCTATTTTCATTAGTTGGTCTTTAAACTGCTGAGGGTTTGCCTCCGGTGACTTATATACAAGGACAATAACTACGTTTAAGGTCTCTATTTTGATTATCAGCACTTCCACCATATTGTTAGTGGTGTTTAGGTGTTAACTGGTGTTAACTTGGCGTTAACTTGGTGTTAACTTAGTGTTAACTGGTGTTAACTTAGTGTTAACTTAGTGTTAACTTAGTGTTAACTTAGTGTTAACTTAGTGTTAACTGGGTGTTAACTTGGCGTTAACTTGGTGTTAACTTGGTGTTAACTTGGCGTTAACTTGGCGTTAACTTGGTGTTAGCTTAGTGTTAACTTAGTGTTAACTTGGTGTTAACTTGGTGTTAACTTGGCGTTAACTTGGCGTTAACTTGGTGTTAACTTGGTGTTAGCTTAGTGTTAACTTAGTGTTAACTTGGTGTTAACTTGGTGTTAACTTGGCGTTAACTTGGCGTTAACTTGGTGTTAACTTGGTGTTAGCTTAGTGTTAACTTAGTGTTAACTTGGTGTTAACTTGGTGTTAGCTTAGTGTTAACTTGGTGTTAACTTGGTGTTAACTTGGTGTTAGCTTAGTGTTAACTTGGTGTTAACTGGGTGTTAACTGGGTGTTAGCTTAGTGTTAACTTGGTGTTAACTTGGCGTTAACTTGGCGTTAACTTGGTGTTAGCTTAGTGTTAACTTAGTGTTAACTTGGTGTTAACTTGGTGTTAACTTGGCGTTAACTTGGCGTTAACTTGGTGTTAACTTGGTGTTAGCTTAGTGTTAACTTAGTGTTAACTTGGTGTTAACTTGGTGTTAACTTGGCGTTAACTTGGCGTTAACTTGGTGTTAACTTGGTGTTAGCTTAGTGTTAACTTAGTGTTAACTTGGTGTTAACTTGGTGTTAGCTTAGTGTTAACTTGGTGTTAACTTGGTGTTAACTTGGTGTTAGCTTAGTGTTAACTTGGTGTTAACTGGGTGTTAACTGGGTGTTAGCTTAGTGTTAACTTGGTGTTAACTTGGTGTTAACTTGGTGTTAACTTGGTGTTAACTTAGTGTTAACTTAGTGTTAACTGGTGTTAACTTAGTGTTAACTTAGTGTTAACTTGGTGTTAACTTGGTGTTAACTTGGTGTTAACTTGGTGTTAACTTAGTGTTAAGGGGTGACATTGCCGAAGCCGTAAATGCCAAATCTTTGTTGAACTATTTTCATCCATCTAGAACAAAACAAATCACCAGAACAAATGGGGGACCTTCGAAGAGCCGCTGGTTTCCTGTCCCCTCGTCGAGACCACTAGAGTATTAATGGCCCTCAGGTAAATTCAGGTAAATATATCTTATTCCAAAAATTGTCTGACGATCTTAAATTGCAGCAAAGATTTGCTATTTAGAATCCTGGTAGCACAGTCGGGTTCATTCTCGACTCTCAATCGAGAATTCCTGGTTCGAATTCAGAGAGGGACGGAAATGGTGGGGCGCGTTTGCTTTCACCTCATACTTCTGTTCACCTAGCAGTAAGTAGGTACATCTTCTCTCAGCCCTGAACCCATTCTGTAACCCTTTCCACCACCACCCACGGCATAGGTATAGGGTGCATAATGAAGAATCTGCTAGTGGCTTCATCTAACAACTCTTCTATATAGAAATAAATAAATATAAATAAATAGAGACTACATATATTTATAGGTAAATTCAGGTAAAATTACTGACCATCATGAGGTACTTGTGGTGATGTATTATACATTTTGTATTGTATAATTGTAATAATTCTCCTCATAAATAAACGCATCGTCATGCGTGTTAGTGACTTTACATTGTACTCTCATGAACCTAATGTACCTTCTTGCATATATATAAATAAAATAAATTATTAAAGATATTAACATTTGTAAATTGAGTAAAGAATTGAAATTGTTGTCAATCATAAATACGCCTCAATTTAACAATTATCAATCTTGAATATGTAGAGTTGCTAAGACTTGTATGTGAGACAAGAATACTAATTAATGTCTAATTATCAATAATATTAACTAGGCTCTAATTATATGTCATAATTAATGAGTTTGAGGGGTAAATAATGTTTTGTAAAGAGCGTGGATGTAGGTGGTGACCGAGGCGAGTTAAGGGGGGCGAGGGAGAGGTTCCATCACTCCGCCACTCTTCTCCCCCGAGGTGAGTGTCGTGATGGCCGCCGCCGCCCTCCCTCACCTTCATCCCCCGCCATCACCGCCATCCCTCACCATCCCTCCCTCACCACTCATCACCATCCACCACACTTCATTGTACTCTAATATTTGACCATCTTGGCGCCGATATAATGGATGATTTGTGTGTTTCAGGCCGGCCAAGATGGGGCGCCGACCAGCCCGCTGGTGAGTCAATGTTTACGTTTTGTTTGTCTTGTTTGTGGGGGTTATTGTGGGGCTATAGGAGGGGGTTATTGTGGGGTTTATGGGGCTGGGAGGTTGGTTTAGGGGGTAATGGAGGTGTAGGTAGCACACGTGGTTATGTATATGTGACTGATTAACTGGGGTTATTCAACCTGAATTTACCCGTGTGGGGTTCTAGTGGCCTGGACGAGGAGTGTGGCGGGGTTTGAGGTGGATACATGTGTAGCAGGTGTGTCTGGTGTGTGGAGGACGCCAGATGTGTCTGGTGAGGGAGGGGTTGTGACCACCTGCCGTCACGCTGTCCCCGCACGTGGTGGTGAGTCTTGGTGGTGATGCCTTGCCAGAGTGGCCTGGTGCTTGCTCCTGGTGATGACCATGAGGTGTGGGGAGTAAGTGGACGGGTGACCACCAGTGTTGTCGGGCCGGAGACAGTAACCCCCCCCCCCCCTCAGAGAGATATGGGGCCCAAGACAAGTGTATTCCCCCCCCCCCCCAGTTTGGTGACACTTAAGTGTGGGTGAGGAGTCTTCAGGTGTGAAGTTTAAACTTAAAAATGCTTGAAAATTAAAATTAAAACTTGTTGCGTTATGAAGGTTGTGACGAGCGGTGTGAAGCGTGTGCTGGAGTACTGTATTCTGCAGTGAGGAATTTTGGATACTGTAGTGTATTTACATGGTACTGTATTTTGTATCCAATTTTCTTGCCTATCCTTAAGGGTATATTATGATCATTAAGGATACTTATCCTTAAGGTATCCAAGTTGGTCCAGTCTGCAGTACTTGTGTGTGACGGGGAAACACAGTTTATCGTTTATAAAATAGCACACAGCACCTGTAGAAGATTATCACAGTCCTTGGGTAATGTAGCGCCGTGTTGCAATATAGTTTGGTCCTGTGTTATGCACTCAAAAAAGTCTGAAATTGTACATAAGCTGGTTTACTAGTTTACAATTTGTCAGATTACTGTATGCCTCAGGGAGCCGATGGCTGAGTGGACACAACACTGAGCGTGTGATCCTGTGGTCCTGGGTTCAATCCCGGGTGCCGGCGAGAAACAATGGGCATTGTTTTGGGGGGGGGGGGAGGTAAAAAAAAAAAAAAAAAAAAAAAAACCCTAGTCAAGGACCGGGCCGCGGGGATACCAAGCCCCGAAGTCATCTCAGATAACCCCTGGAGGTTGTGGGCAAGTTTGATAAGGTTGTTAGCGTGCAAGGTTGTACCCCACTAACACCAACATTACAGTGTAGCTCACTATCTGTACTGTGGTAAATAGTGGGCAAATTGTAGCCAGTTTTGTGTAAGGTCCGGCTCCCTCATGGGTCGGGCCTAAGAAAACACTCGGGACATGTACAGGTTAAGGCATGCATTTGTTGGTAACTTTTAAGTCTGGTTAGATAAGGAAAAGCTGGTTGATACCTTGATGGGGTTCTGGGAGTTCTTCTACTCCCCAAGCCCGGCCCGAGGCCAGGCTGTTGCTTGGAGCGGCCCGCAGGCCCACCACAGCCCGGTTGGTCCAGCACTCCTTGGAGGAATAAATCTAGTTTCCTCTTGAAAATGTCCACGGTTGTTCCGGCAATATTTCTTATGCTTGCATTAAGCGATTGTGGAAATGGGAGCTGCTTGGTGTGGGGTCTTCTGCAAGATTACTTCATTGTGTAACATTTGACACCAACTTGGCTTACTTTTTTTTTTTGTATAAGATACCTTGTATGTGCTCCAAGGCATTCTGCAGGTTCTCTTGTTATTCCTACTCTTCAAAGATAAACCAGTCTACTTCTTTCTTAACCAAACTGAGATTTCCTGTACTTTTTCTTGGCTTGAGATTGAATTCAAAAGCAAGACAGTTTATTTGTAGCTATGAATGCATATTGCTAAAGGCAGGTTAGAGTAAATTATGAACAATTTAAAAATTAGGCAAAATGTGAGTTTTGAAGCTATGACATCCATTGATGAGCAGGACTAGTATAAATAATTAGGCATAATATTAAAAGCTTAGATTTGTTTACATAAAATGTAGTTTGCTTCCCCCTCAATATTACAATTTTGTCCAACTTTCCAGTTACCGCTACTGCAAGAATAAACCGTACCCCAAGTCACGGTTCTGTCGTGGTGTGCCAGACTCGAAGATTCGTATATTTGACTTGGGCAGGAAGAAGGCCGACGTGCGTGAATTGCCACTATGCGTACATTTAGTGTCTGACGAATATGAACAGCTGTCATCAGAAGCCCTGGAGGCGGGCCGCATCTGTGCCAACAAGGTGAGCAGCGACATCTTGATGTCTTGGTTTGGGTGTTTGAATTGTTCTTTATTTTATGCATTAAATGGTTAATTTGTGTAGCCCAATGTAAATGATGGTACTGTACTTGTCTAAATAGCATTTTTACATGTTGATCAATATTTAGTGTCACGGAACAGACTTGATGTGCTCATTGTAGACTAATGTCGTCTTAGTGCCCATGGAATAATTTCAAATAGTGATGCCAGATAAAACTATTTATATGTATCGGGGAATGGCCTGATTGCTTTGAAAATGTCTGGAAATCATTGCTTCTCCTTAAATGTACGTGCCAATTGGTTGCATTCTACTCGTGCCAAATTGTTGATAATAAACACTTGTCATACAACTATCTCTGCACAAAGTATGATCACTTCAGTCCACAAGTGACGTAAGGTGCTGTTGGTTGTAGGTTTAGCGAGCCTATTAAAGTAAGTTGGTACCGGTGTGTGGGTCAGTATCCTCATGAATGTGATAAGCCATGTGCACTAGATCTTGACTGTCAAATATTGGTGTTGGCTTCAGTATAAACTGTTGTTCTGCTAGGGTAGGATGGATGTGGCTTGGAAGCACTTAGAGTTGCTTTTCAATCCTAATCATTTGTGTGAATTAAAAATGTTTGATGCAGTTCCTGGCTAAGCAGGTTTCATGTTGGGAGACAAAGTTAGTCACCAATGACAAACTAAATCATTATCACAACCCTGGACGAAATATTGCAAAATCGGAGAAGATAAGATTACTACAAATTCCCTATCCTTTTGCATAGTTTTCCCCACATGTATTGCAACAATGTAGACATAGCACACGCTAACTATTGCGGCCACACCCTATTCTTCATAAGTTTGTGCTTCTCATTAAACTAGTATTTTTTTCCCCCATTAGTGGAAAAACAAACAAAATGGACCTTGATAGCCACCAATTACAATTTGACGTGCAGAAAAGCATCTTTGATTTTCCACGAACCACTGCACTGTTTAGTGTAAAGTCATGTTTTAGTAATAGTATTAACATTTTAACCAAAGTGTCCTCTGTGAGGATAACTTTATATAACAATTCTACATGCAATAACATCGTAGGGATGTACCTTTGGACATGTACACACACCTGCTCAAACATGACCTTAGACCTTAAAATGCGCTTTAAGGGGCATTAACTGGATATTAAGTTCAAATGTCAAACTTTTTTTTACTAGTTGTATATGAAAAATGCTGCAACTGTTCAGTTTCAGTATTGCAGCCTAAATGGGAAAAGGAATTTTTGTTTTAACAAATTTTCAACATTCAAATTCATTACAAACAAATTTCAAATAAAATAATTTCTCTCGTCTATCACATTAGCATATAATAAAGGATTTACCCATCCGGATTGTCCATAATGTTTAGTTTTACTAATACACAGCAGTTCCCAATAAATTTATGAATATCTTTCAGAAATATTTATAATCCATAAATGAACTTGGGAATGAAGTATCTTGGATCAATTGTAGACATAAATGCTACATATAAGGTGTAGGGTAAGTTTCATATAAATTTGTCATTTTGTTACTTGAAAACAGAGGTCAAAGGTTCTGCCACTTGTGGCTGAGGTCATCAGTCAATTTCCTCCAAACTTTGCACCTTTACAGATAGGCTTTTATGCAGTAAGGGGTGTGTATTTCATGCAAATCACCCGATAAAAAAAGGGATTTTTTTATTAAACTGATTAGTAATCCTTTATGCTATTGTGATAGCCGGGTTGGACATGATTTCAATTGACACTTGTTTGATGTTTTGACATTTGTTCTCCCTAATTATACGACAATGCTGAGACATGGACCAGTTGAAGCCCTTTTCGTATACACCTAGTCAAAAAAAAAATTTGAAATTTAACCACTTTTCACTTATTGCATATTTTGCAGTTCTGCCCCCTTCCAAATCTTTCAGGCCACTTCAAAAACATGTTATAGGTTTAGCACTTTACAGGTAAGGTACATTTTTGCAGTAACGTTTTACTTTATTAAATACAGTACTATGCATAAATACACTAACTTGACTGAAAATTGGGCACCACACCCACATCTGAAAATGGTGATAATACTGTAATATGGTCGTATTTTAAATAGTGATAGTGGTCCAGGATGGACTAAAACCCTTTCAGATGTTGAGGTTGGTGCATACTATATTTTACCCAATTGTTTGGTTTAATTGGATAACGTGTATAATACTGAGTTTTACCCCACTTATTAAGCCGACATTGCAGAGTAGTTAATTGTCTGTACTGTGGTAAATGGTGGGCACAATAAAGCCAGTTTTTGTGTAAGGCTCATCACCTTTATGGGTTGAGTCTAAGAAAACACTTGGGACACGTTATGTGTACTTCAAAACCTCTTTTGTATTTTGTCTGAAATATTTTTAACACTTTTGCACCCCGGGCGTATGCACGAACTACTCCTGGCGGTCGAGCGTGCGGCGGCACCGAAATGTGTGTACTCGGTTCAGTTTTCTCGCCTTGATTCTCTTGCTACGTCGTTCATTTAGATTGTTACAATGAAATTCCTTGCAGGTGTATATGCACATGTCCAAACGCCCGGCATGACTCCCCACAGCAAAGCCTAAAGTTACCCGTGAACGAGCACCCAATTTACACACCTCGGCCTAATGTGTATACTCGTTCAATTTGATAACATTAATTTTTGTTTTACGTCTTTCATTTTGGTATCAAATTGTTCGCAATATAAAGCTGCATATTTTAAAACTAGTCCTATAATAATAGAGCAATAACTGGCATTTTAACATTTTAATTTTTTTCGTCAATTTTATTTATGTTTAGTGTGTTTTGACAGTTTCGTGTTACACCTTTCATTTTGGTATCATTGTGCACACTCTAAAGGCGCTCATTTTGAAACTATCCCGAAGTTGATCGGATAATAAATGAATTTTGTACAAAAATTTTTATCGGGCGCGAGCAGCGTCTTGACGCTCAGACTCGAGCAAAAAAAGACGCCAGGGGTGTCTGAAGAGTGCGATAGTATTAAGCTTAACTGAGCAATATAAAGTCTTGCCATGTTGCAAGGCATGTTGTTGTCTTGCCAATTGATGCTATACTTTGCATCATTACAGCTTGGTACACTTTTAAATCACTTGTCTTATTCTGGTGGTCCTGTATGTTAAAGGAAGGTAGAAAACTTTTTTAATCCCTTCCAGGGGCAGAGCTTTGTTGACATGACATTATAAGCTTGATCTAAAGTTAGGAATGGTGTCCTATATTGCTCCATTGTTTTTGTTCCAAAGAAACCTATTGATATAAATGCTTCCAAAGAAACCCATTAGGAATGAAAAGCTAGGATGAGCAAATACTGTTTGCTATTATGCATACTATAATGTTGCTTTAATGTTTCAGTACCTGGTCAAGAACTGCGGTAAGGATCAGTTCCACGTCCGTGTTCGACTACACCCGTTCCATGTGATCCGCATCAACAAAATGTTGTCGTGTGCCGGTGCTGATAGGTAAGTACAATCCTGCACATTGCACTAGTAGCTTCTGCAAGTGCCATGTTTCTAGTTACTTGATGGTAATGATATATTATGTGTAATCCTATCTACACTAAAATTGAGAAATGTATAGTTAAAAATGTAATTTTAATTTTCAGATTGCAGACCGGTATGCGTGGTGCCTTTGGCAAGCCCCAAGGCACTGTAGCCCGTGTGCAGATTGGCCAACCTATCATGTCTGTACGCACCCACGACCGCCACAAGACCCATGTTGTGGAAGCACTGAGGCGAGCCAAGTTCAAGTACCCAGGACGCCAAAAGGTAGGGAATGGTTCTTTGGTAATTCCTGCTTTATGCACGTGTTTAAAAGTTATTTATAAATAACTTATTATAATTAAAGTGTGAGTACATATGATTCTCTATTAATTGCAGCAGAGGTTCAAGATTATTTTCCATGCCTCTGATTCTAAACTTATGGTGAATGAAAACTGCCAACTATAATTTTTTTTTTTTTTTTTTAAATGTTATATCCTTAGGCTGTAACTGTTTACTAGTGATCTAAAAATGATTGGAACCTCATCCATATTATATTAGCTGACATGATCTGTATAATGCCAACAGTTTGGTACCCCACTTATTAAGCCGACATTGCAGAGTAGTTAATTGTCTGTACTGTGGTAAATGGTGGGCACAATAAAGCCAGTTTTTGTGTAAGGTTCGTCTCCCTCGTGGGGCGGATCTAAGAAAACACTTGGGACATGAACAATTTTTCATTGTGTAAATTTAATATTTAAAATTGGTTGACCATCTGTCATAAGACATCATCATTCTTTCATTGTCATACACATTTTGTACAATGCATATTCCTCCCTCCATGTCTGCCCCACCTTTCTAACTGTACATGTCTTGTACCCTTAAATTTGCTGTACCATTGGCTCTGCCTTTCATCTTGCATATTATGTCTAAATTTGGCTGTTTGCCCATATGGCCGAAAATGGACCTAATTGGAAAATAAATTTTGGATTTTTATCCCAAAACAAGTTAACCCTTAAACTGCGCATAGTGTATGTGTCTGCATTCACCATACCAGCTCTGTGGTTCTCTATGGTGAACACAAATGTACACGCGTTATATAAAACTGTGTATAATGTAATAATGGCAAAACTGTTTGTTTTATGAACATAATAATTGAATTGCTGATATGAACACCATACTTTTGAGTATAGCATTGATTCACACATTTTATTATATAATCCATCACACTACATACTATTGAATAATAATACTGCAAAGCACTACGAAAAAATCACATTGAAATAATTAGGTAATATCTTTGTGGCAACTCCTATCTGACAGCTCCGGTGGCGCTGACCGCCTCTAACGACTGCTCTGTCAACGCCCACATTTTGCCAGACTTCGTCGACCTATTGTGCCCAAAATATGTTGCCCACGTTTTTTTTTGTTAATTTTTCCCGTGCTCAGTGAACACAAATTAACATTTTTCAAAAAATTTTCTTGTGCACGGGTGTAAATCTCCTCGGGACCCCTTAAAATCTTAAGAGCCAAGGGTCCTGTGATAGGTTAGGAGGGCAGGAAGTTCTGTGGTTTCAAAGCATCATGGAAACTTCTACCTAACAGGGACAGTACATCACTTTTGTGATATGTTTTCATTTTAAATAGTCCATTTTTGGCCATAATGCACATACAAGTGAAAAGTGATGTTATTTTTAAAGAGGACAGGTTGATTTATTAGTCTTTCCATTCAATGAAACACGTCTGTTTTCAGTATGCACTCGTCTCGATAACATTCTTATTCCTTGCTTGTAAATACTGATAAAATTGTCAAAGTATCACTAATCCAGGAAATTAATTTTTAAATAGTCTGCAGACCTCGAACTGCATCTCTTCCTGTCCTGTTCTCCCTAACCCAGGCTTTTATTTTGCAAGCCACTGACCCTTCTCCTAACTTCAGGTGCACTAATTCCTTTGGTAATAGCAATTGGACATCCCAGGTGTTAAAGCTGAGCAAATAATTCTATTACTCTATAGAATTCGGTTTTGTTTTTAAAAAGTTCACAGCCACCTGTATCCTTGCACACCTCATTTATACATGTTGAAGGATATGTCTACATGACATTCAGAGTTCTTTAACTGAAAATGATTTGCCTTTCAATACACCAACTTTTAAAGTGTTCACTTACACAGCTACTTGGAATACTTTTAAATTTTTTTACGGCCTACATGCTCATTGCTACATATCCTTCCCGGTTTGCTGCCTTCTTCTTATACTTACTTGTGGTAGGGTTACTAAAGCTTTTGAAATGCAAGTGATTAATAAAAATAATTTTGCTGCAGATCTACGTGTCTCGTAAGTGGGGCTTCACCAAGTTTGACCGTGACGAGTACGAAGAGTTGATGGCCAGTGGCCGCCTGTTCCCTGACGGCGTGACGGTACAGTACCGCCCCGAGCACGGACCACTCTTAACCTGGAAGAAGGTCCAGCTGGAGCTGGCTGGTCTTGCCTAACTGTACTCTCAATAAAATGATGAGGATTACCGAGTTAGTATTAGTATCCTTTCATGGTATACTGTCGAGTATTTACCTGTCGCCTTTCATTTCTTTTAACTTTATTATTTATCGGTCATGGTTTGTGCTACTTGGCCAGGAGGCCAGCGAGTACATAATGCTACTTGGCCAGCGAGTACATAATGCTACTTGGCCAGCGAGTACATAATGCTACTTGGCCAGCGAGTACATAATGCTACTTGGCCAGCGAGTACATTATCCTACTTGGCCAGGATGCCAGTGAGTGCATTATGCTACTTGGCCAGGATGTCAGCGAGCACACAATGCTATTTGGCCAGGATGCCAGCGAGCACAATGCTACTTGGCCAGCGAGTACATAATGCTACTTGCCCAGGATGCCAGTGAGTACATATAACACTTGTGCAGCTACCACAGACAAAGGTTATACAGGCTGGTTTCCAAAGTGGTGCACCTTTGTGTACTTTAGATTATAAGAACATTACAAAGCTCCACGTTTTTCGTGCTGGCAGGTCTTGACACGTATGAGTAAATAAAATGGATTCAAATTGATTAAATTTTTTAGGAAAGTCTGTAATGTGGTAATTTATGGATTTACTTACTGGTAGTGATGAGTGACGGAGTAGAAATTTAACCCATCTCCAGGTGTGGTTGCTGGACAGTTATATCCAGTAATATATGAGAGAGAAAGGGTAAGTACAGCAGTAAGATCTTTGCTATTGGAGCGTCTTTTAATGTACTCAACATTGAGCATAATTGTCTTGCCATACATGACTGATAACAGCACAACTTTTATTTAATGCATTCCTGTTCGTATACAGGTACTTGCTTAGGGATCTAAGCACAACTTTTATCACTTTTTTGAGGTTGTTATACAAAGTGGTAAGATTCTTTCATAGGTCAGTATTCATAAGGTTTAGATAAAGTATTATGTAGTCTAGTGCTTGATTTTTAAAGGAACTTTTAACTTCCTGCTATATCGTCTCCTTGGCTTGGTGCCTTCTTTTGATAATTACTTTGTCAACTAATACAACCTTGGAAGATATTCAACCTGTGGATAATATACGTTGCTGGGTGTTCTACTCCGAGGATTAAGTTGGCCATTGCATCAGTGCTTATCTAATGAAATTAACCTCATTGTACATGTCTTTGATTTGTCTCGCCATTAGTAGTATAAACCTTATCTTTAGTCATATAACCTTATCATTAGTGGTTTGTGACTCCAAATACGGCTTTTGACTTTCAAAAAACTACTAAAAAAAACTTGCTTAGCAGTTTTGGTCAAGATAGGGATTGTGTACTGGTCATGTATATTGTGATAAACATTGCACAAATATATAGTTTGATGCTGTTACTTCAGTCGTGTCATCTTCAATCTGGCGACGGAACAAAAATTACCTAAATACTTTTAATAGTTACACAGAAATCACACTAACGTGATGCATCAAATGAACAAATCCACAAGGGCCGTGACGAGGATTTGAACCTGCGTCTGAGAGCATCCCAGACGCTGCCTTAATAGACTGAGCTACGACAAGGTAAAAAGAGTTGAAACTTACTTGAAACCAGTAAGTTCAGTAGAACTTCGGTTTCAACTTTTTTTTTTTTTTTTTTTTTTTTACCCTGTCGTAGCTCAGTCGATTAAAGCAGTGTCTGGGATGCTCCCAGACGCAGGTTCGAATCCTCGTCACGGCCCTTGTGGATTTGTTCACTTTTAATAGTTCTTTAATAGAACAATGCAAAAATACTTCCCTTAAACAATATACTATTCAGAAGAAAAGTTTATTGTAGTATATTTTCAGGCGTTTCAGCCTGCTTATTGAGCAGAGCCGACGCCACTAGTGGCCTCGGTAAAGCAGGAAGTATTCATCCAGAATGAAGTGCTGCTCAGAAAGGGTAATTATTGGTATAACTAGCTAAAAATGCTAATTCCCCTAACCATTAAAGGTAAACATAGCAGAATCTGAGGGCACTCATTGTCATAGTTCTCCCATATTTTCATAACCAGTGAAAATTGTTCATAATCATTTATCATTCATAAAATTTCTGCCTCCTGTACTTGCCTAGTTGTGCTTGTGGGGATTCAGTTTCTGCTCTTTGGTCATCCCTCTTGACTGTCTTATCACAACCTGTCCTCGACTCTCATTCCATCCAGCAGTCGACCCCACAAATGCATTTATAAATTTTACCATGCTGTTCATTCAAAATGGGAATTGTCCCATAAATTAATCTATATAAATAAAAATGGAAATGTTCATTTGTTCAAAATCGCTAATCTCTGAAAGTTCTTCACCAATTGCTTCAACAATAAAGTAGCCGTCACAACTGCAAGAAAAATGACAGGTTGGATAACAAGAACTTTTCACACTAGAGATGCTATACCGATGATACTTTTCAAAACGCTTGTGCTCTCTAGAGTGGCTGCTGCACAATGACAGCCCCTTTCAAAGCTGGAGAAATTGCTGACCTGGAGAGCGTGCAGAGATCCTTTACTGCTAGAATCCACTCGGTAAAACACCTAAACTACTGGGACCGACCAAAGAGCCTAAATCTGTACTCCCTTGAGCGCAGGCGGGAGAGATACATAATAATTTACACGTGGAAAATATTAGAGGGGCTGGTCCCAAAGCTGCACACAGAAATAACATCACATGAGACCAGGAGGCATGGCAGGATGTGCAGAATACCCTTGTTGAAAAGCAGAGGTGCAACAGGTACTCTGAGAGAGAACTCTTATCAACATCAGAGGCCCGAGATTGTTCAACACGCTTCCACTACACATAAGGGGCATAACTGGCTGACCCCTCACAGTGTTCAAGAGAGAACTGGATAAACACCTCCAAAGGATACCTGATCAACCAGGCTGTGACTCGTATGTCAGGCTGCGAGCAGCCGCGTCTAACAGCCTGGTTGATCAGTCCAGCAACCAGGAGGCCTGGTCGACGACCGGGCCGCGGGGACACTAAGCCCCGGAAGCACCTCAAGGTAACCTCAAGGTAAGGTATTGCTTTGAAATTTTCACACAACGTTCCATTCACATCCGGCCAGGTTTTTATATACATACTATATAGATGTCACGTCTGTGACGGTAAAAAAAAAAAACTTTTTCATGTGAGGGAAATCTTAAAAACTCCTTTATTGATTGCTTTGAAATTTTGACACAACGTTGCATTCGAATAGGCGCGTCTTTTTATATATACTATATATATGCCTTGCCTGTGACAGGATTTTTTTTTTTAAACTGCGTTATCTGTTGGACGTAAGAGCAACCAACCCATGCTGAAATCCCCGGAAGTTCTTCACCGATTGCTTTGAAATTTTTACACAACTTTGCATTCAAATAGGCGCATCTTTTTATATACCTACTATATAGATGCCACCCGTGACTGGAAAAAACATGCGTTAATGAAAAACGGTGCCATCTGTTGCACATAATAACAACATGCACACTATACTAAATGTCACGAATTCCATTTCAGTATTTCCGATTGCATTAATCAATTGTATTTTCATGGATTTCGATTTATTTTACTTTTTTATTGATTTATTTTTGTGACATTGTGTTGGAATTGAGCTGTGTTGTTTACCATACCGTTCATTTCTTAAGTATAAGTATAGATGCCACACCTGTGGCAAATAAAATTATGCTTTTCTTGAAAAACAGCGCATCTGTTGGATGTAAGAGCAACACACATACTATAATAAATATGTTACAATTCCAATTCAATGTTTCTGATTGCACTGATAAATTGAATTTTCATAGATTTTATTTATTTTAAATAAAAATTAATTATTTTGTGTGAATTGTGTTGGAATTGAGCTGTGTTGTTTACCATACTGTTCATTTCGTGAGTAGTTTATTTTGTTATTTTTTTGTGTTTTCATTTCATTTTTTAACTGTTCTTATTTCAGTGATAGGAACATCAGATCACTTGATGTTCCCAATTTTCTGATGGGAACATCAGACCATTTGGGAAGGCATCAAACGAGGGAGTGGGGATGACGAGGGGACGGAAGTGAGGGATGGTGGAAGTGTTCGAACGAATTCTGCTGCGAGTTGTGTGTAATTCGTTTCTCATTTCTCAACAGGGTTTGGTGGGTGCATGGAATCACTTCTGGGTCTTTGTTTGGAGGACGGGCTGATTATCAACTGTTCTACAGGTTCCTGAGCCCAAGTCTTCAATGCAAATTGTAGCTAAAACTGGTTTGTTGTAACATTGAGTTGAGTGTTGATTAACCCTTACACTGCTAAGCATAAGGGACCCCAGGGAGCAAAAAATATTTGAATTGTGTTAAAATTACTTAATGTTAAACAAATCTCCAACTTATTGGCTTTAGCGTCGTGAAACTAGTCAAAATATTTTCAGAAGTTTATTTGACAAATTTGTTTAAAAACGTTTTGTTGATAAGGAGAACAGCTATTAATTGGAACCGATGGATAATGCAGTAATAGAGAGATGCAAGCATCAGTCCGACACACAAAGAATAATAGTAGTAAGTGTCCACAAAGTGGATATGCAGCAGATGCCTTTATAGCATTGCTGAGTAATACATAATAATGAGAATGTTGTTATGCTCTATTTTGTTACATATCATATAAATACATTGCCCAATGTTTATATGTTACTTTCAGCAATGTGCAAAATCATCCACAAAAAAAAATCGCCTTTGTTTATTATCCTGATTTTGTTGTAACCTCTACATCCCGGAGAGTGCATATTCGTCCCTGTGTGAAGATAGGATGAAATTGGTCAACAAATATGTAGGTCGCAACTCGCAGAATTTGGGACTTTGAATTTTTTTGGGCTGATTTTTTCACAGCTTTTAAACTATTTTATTTGTTTCTAAGTTGTTTTGATGATTAGGGACCAGATTAGGGCTTTTTCACTTACATAAATATTCCCTAAATATATGCCCTAAATCATAATTATTATAATTATCCCTGTATTTTTTTTAGGGGGGGGGTATTTTTTCTTGACCATTTCAACACGTATTGACCTACAACTTTCACA